ACAAATATAATAAAAATACTCTTGTTATAGCAAATTGGCCAATCAAATCTCTTAAAATCTTCATTATAGCCTTATAGCGAAGTTGAGATCTAGAACATAGAGTTCATTATAACAAGAGTTGATTGTATTATTAAAATATAAAACTATAATCATTTATTATAATGCAACTAAATTTAGCTGTAAAATTTATTGTATTTAAATTTTTATACAAGCTAATCATTTATACCAAAATAACTTGTAGACAAATTTATCTGTAAATTTTCTAAATCAAAATATTTGTAAATAAACTTAAATTTTTTATATGAATTGTAAAAATATGTAATTATGAAAATACAGAAATGAAGAAGTATACAATTTATATAGTGATTTATAAAATTGCAAGCAAATTTGCTTGTAAAATTTGGTTTTTACTAATTTTTTATATTTGAATCTGATTTACCAACAAATTTTTTGAATATTAATCATTGAATATTATAACAAATTTTTTTTTAGTTAATATATCAGTAATACAAATTTTAGATTTATATTATATAGTACAAAAATAATTAAAAAACTTGAAAAAACTCCTGAAAGCAGACATTAATTACAGACTTTTTTAATATTTAGTTAATTTTAAATAGATTTATATATTAATTGAACATAATTAAATAATAAATAATTTTGAATAAACATTTTAATAAATTTTATTATTGTTTAATTCTTATATTATAAATTTATTATTACAACTATGAATAAAATAACTCTATATAGTCATTTTATATGATTTTTAATATAAAAGTGATTAAATAGAAGTTATCTTTTTAACAGTCACACCTCTATACAATTATCAATTTAGTGAAACTGATTAGGTAACTATATGGAGATCTGATTGTATTTAGATTATTTTCTAGATTATAGAATGGAAATAATCATATGATAAAATAATTCCTATGAATACTATAATCTAATCTAAGTTATATACTATCATATAATATAATTATATTATATAGTAGTATAGTATTATATAAATAATATTAGTATTTAATCATTTAATTAAAAATTAATTATTAATTTTTTAATTATTTGAATAATTAAATAGCCAAAAAATTTTTACATATTTAATCTTAATCAAATAAATAGTTAAAAAAAATCTTTTAATCATGATTAAATGCAAATGTTTTATATAAAAAATATTTAAACCTATAATATTTATTAATATTTAATTATTAATAAATATAATAATTAGTAAATTAAATATAGATCAAATAAATTGAAATAATTTAGTAATATATTTACACAATTTTTTTTTAAAATTATATAAATTATATTTTATTACTTAATCAAATTATGCTATTAAATATAAAATTTTTTTTTTTCACAAACTTTATTAGATAATGATCATTAAACTTAAAAAATCATTTAATATTAATAATTTTTATTTTTTTTTTTTAATTGTAATAAATTATAATCATAAAGTTCACACTCTTCCTTAATTACTTTATAACTAGAAAATAGTGCAAGGATGATGATTTTTGCAATTGTGTTATTTGTGATACAATTTTATTAATTTTGTACATTTATTTATTTTTTTAACATTCACTTTTATCTTGAATTTTACATAAATGCATAGAATATTTATAATCCTTCACATTTACCAATTTCTATACACAACTATTTCTATTTCCAATACACGTCTATTTTTTTTAATAAAAGGATGTTTACTATATACCATTCTAATGCTCGAACCAAAAAAGGTACCTTAACAGAATTATCTTCATTATGTTGTATAAGTTCTTGCATTTATTTATTTTTTTTTTTTAATTATTTCAAATGTTGCAAAGTTTTTACGCGTTACTATTTCGATACTAAATATTTATTCGGAGTAAATTTTTTAAAAAAAAAAAAAAAATTTTTCGGAGTATAAAATTCCGTTTGCTTAATTTTAGGCTTTTACAACAAATCCTATCAGTACGTTTTTTTTTTTAGTAAGCTTATAAACCGGCCTATTAAAATCTGTGTCGCGAATGGTACAGACACGCGTTTTACAAAGCGAATAATATATCATAAACCACCCTATATATTATATCCATAAAAGGCAATTCCCGCAAAATTCTCACCCGAGCTTTAAATATCCGAATTTTAAAAACTGGCCAAATGTAAATTTTATAGAAGAGAATAATTCATTTTTTTTATGTATAAAAATAAAGAAAAATTTCAAGATTACAACTAAAATATTATCATTCTAAATCTGTATTGCCAGCAAGTTTTCTAGCTTCTTCAAGTGCATTAATCAAACTATCATTGGTTGGTTCAAATTCCAATCCAATCTCAAAAGCATGTACAGCTTCTTCATACCTTTTCAAACCCATCAAAGCTTTGCCTTTTCTAAAATAACCTTTAGAAAAATCTGGTTTAATCTTAATACACCATTCAGCATCAGCATAAGCATTAACCCATTGTTCTAAACTAATATAAGCAGCACTTCTATTACTCAGACAGACTGAAACTTCTTGTTCAGTTAACTCATGTGGTTCCCAAAACTGTCTTTGAAATGCCATATCAATGGCTAAACCATATAACTTTATAGCATCATTATAATTTTGTGTTTTAAAATGGTTATTCCCATCTTCTTTCAATTTAACGATTTGTTTTGAAAGGTTTTGATTAATATGATTTGGTGGTGGAATTTCACCGTTTATTGATCGTAAATTTTTATGTAAGGTGTTTAATTGTTTGAAATCATATTTACAATCTTTACACGTTTCGAGATGGTGCTGGCGACAATAAACATTGTCTCCATCAACAACTAAATTTAATATATTATGACTCATTTTAATAGAGAAAAGGTGTAATATGAATACAAAATACAATGAAGTATTGTCAGGACTTTGACAAGATCTGCTGCTGTATAAAAAGAAGGAAGGAAAAAAAGTTATATACGGAACGTTACTTGAGTATGCAGATCACATGACCGCAGAATTCCCAATCAGCTTTTTGTAGCTCGTAACACAATCTAAATTTTTTTTTTTTATTTACGACGAATTATATTTATTGATCTACATTACGGAAATCCTCAATTAACCGATTTGTTGCTTTAATACTGCCAATCACACAACCAACCAACCCTACAAATATTACGAATGCGTTCCATGTCAACTTCAGCAACGACATCCTCTCCCAGCCAAATAGTTTTAGGTAAAATAACACGGGTAATACAAATACGAGAAGACAATTTGCCAATGCGCCTAATAAAGACATGATGTCATCGAAGAAAGGTATGGTTATAGCGATTCCAACGGTTATGATAATCAAGAATGTGCGATATACGGCGCGTAATAAAAATTCAACTACTCTGGAGTGATCGCGTGTGATGTATAAGTGATTCTCTGTCTCAATTGCAAAAGATGTCATAAGTATAGGTATTGTAAGAAGCACGTGAATTGTAATGAATAGGGACGCAAATGTTAACAGCAATCCTAAGATGATTAGAAAGTATTAGCTTATATTTTGAAGTTTCCAATTTTGCAAGAAGTAAATATTTTCTTTTTTTACCTTCAGGTAAAACCTCTAAAATAGGATTTTTTGTTTTATCTCCGTAGACCAAATATCCTGAGAATGCAACAAGAGAATACATGACGGCACATGTACACATAGCTGCTGTAATAACTCTATTCCAATGGCGTGGCTTTCGCATACTTCTTTCAATGTGCGGGAAAACGTTATTACCTCCATAGGAGAATGTAATTGTAGCAAGAGCAATTGGAAATTCGGATAAGTCAAATATCTTGTGAGAAGGTGGGGTTGGAGCACTGCGCATATTTGACCAATCCATAAAGGAAAGTACCACAACTGCGATTACACAAAACAATGTGGAGAATGTGCCAAACATGCTAACAATATTTAATGATAATTAATATCTTCTAAATGAAAAATTGTTTTTCTTATGTCAGAATTCTTTACCTTAATATCACGACTTCTTTTAATGTTTTTGTGAAAATGAATGGAAATCCAATCAAAGTAGCACAAATACACGTCCAAACTGTAATTCCCCAATCGGTTTCAAAATAATACTGCGCCAATTCATTAAAATTCTCTGCAGCGAGGATGAAATATAATACGCTCACACCAACAAGAATTATATGATGAAAAATTTCAACTAAATATTTTCCAAAAGTTCCAAAAGCGTGTTGTCCTATCTCGCCATAAGATGACAGTCGTGATTTACTAAATAAAATTTATGAAAAGAAAACGGTTGGTGAGTAATTGACAATTTTTTGAAATATCAATATAATTTACATACCCATTATAATAAAGACATTTGATGGTTATGATACTAGTGTACAGAGTTATTATCATTGACATTACAATAAGTCCTAAAGCGAGCCAGCCGCCTTTGTTAAGAGCATCGGGTAAACCCAAAACCCCCGTTCCTGCTACCAAACAACTAAAAAAGATTAAAGAATTAGAAAATCTCCATTCGATATCAATAACATTTAATTTTCAAATATAACTCACGTGACATTTATATATGCACCAAAACTTGACCCTTCAGCATTTCGTCTGTCAGTATTTTGCAAGTCATTAATAAGACGTTCTTCGTCACCTATTAATGGAGCTTCCGAGTCTAAAGAAGACCTATTTGAATGAGTTGAAGTTTCATCGCTGGTAAACGAGTCATGTTCGTCAGACATAATATAATTTTTATTTTTCAAATTGGAAATTTTTTTTTTTTTTTCGTGGTAGGAAAATTTTTTTTTTAAAACAAGTGGAAGGAAAAAATGAAAGTTTGAATAATTGTTTATAAAAAAATAAATGATGAACAATGGTATTTAATACAATATGTTCAAAACTAGTGCATAATACGATTATCAAAGAAAAAAAAAATATCAGCAGAATTTTGCATTCGTCATTTTTTTATTTATGCAATTTGGATTTTACACAAAGAAATCGGATCGTTTTGAAAAACTCGACTTAAAAATTTTGACTAATTAAGGTTGATATGTTTTACTCATTGTTAAAAAGTTTGGATCTCGATGATACAAACCTTATGTAAAGTATCAAATCTTGATTGGTACGCAGATCCTCAACATATAAATCAACAACTCTTTTTAGGATAATTAACAACCTATTTATATTTACAAATAATAGTTTTATTTTCTTTTACTAATTATAAAATTATTAAAAAATATATTTTTAAATACTATTAGTTAATAAATTTATTAAAAGTAATAAAACGTAATATAAACTATTATTTAAAATTTTATCTTTTTTCAAAATTATTTTCATTCTATGGTGATGGAACTAACTCAATTAACTCAATAATATTTCAAGGATTTTATATCATGTGATTAGTAATAGGCCAATGAAAAATGAGATATTAATCATTTTTTTTGTATAATTTAAAAAAGTCAAAAATGATTTTGCATAGAAATCAGCTGAAAATTGGGTTAAAGAAATTAAAGATCTAACAAAATAAATCAAAATGATAAAGTCATTATATCTCATCTGGTTAATTATACTTGATGGCGATCCAATTATTTGGCGGGTCAGAATCTCAAATGACAGTGGCTACCCATTTCAACATATCAACTTTATTTATCATGCAAAAATACAAATCAAAATTTTAACACGAGGAATATGAAAATAAGAACTCGTAATATTATTATATCCTGAAGCTAAAGTAATCGGTAATTTGTGAACAGCTCCAAATAGATTCAATTAAAAGTATTTATCAATCTCAACCTAGATTTAAGATGAATGTTGGAGGGATAGATATAATCCGTGCTAATTTGTATAATTAAAATTCTATGCGCTAGTTAAAGTTAATGTCGCCAAAAAAAATCACATGCATATTTTTACACACCCTTGTTAAAGCAAGATTTGATGATTACAAAAAAATCCCATATCAATGACGCATTTTGGTCCTTGAATCCGAATCTAGAAGAAAAGAAATTAGCTTTATTAATATATAAAGAACAAGCAAATATTCTCATGATACGCCCCATAGCACTTCTCTGATACCGCTTTCAAAAATTCCCGATAAACACTAATATACTAGTCATCTCATAAGCAGTCCAGAAAAAGTAAGCCAACCTGCAATACGTAAAGTGTATTTCCATTACGTAATCAAGGATAGACAACGGTCTGATTCATTCGCGATCATTTCGACTACCAAGGACGGATTATTGCAAGATGAGTCGAACCTATCACTGCTTGACACTGAGGACATGGAAGAATTGTATTCCACTTAGGTTTACTATCCGGGGATACAAATTAGCACGGTGTTTTCGGGTAATTTTCTTTCCCTCCAGGGTATCGATGGCCCCAGGATTGTAAGCAATCCTTCAATATTTTCTTGGTTTGGACATTTGAAATATTGTTTTCATCATCTTTACTCTCGTTTTCGTTCCTTCGTATTCCCGTGTTCTCTATTCTTTCTTGGCCCGCCACGAATTGATATCCCGAAAAAGTAATTCTTGATGTTCCCTCTCCGGATTGGAAATCGTGAGATTTACCGCGGCTGGACGAGCTATCGGCTCCCCCTCCATTTCCAGATTCTTGTCCACAAGGAACGACAGCATTATCACCAGATATGCAGCTTTGTTTTCGAATTTTCTTTCTTGGAGTCTTTACCTTGTAATTTCACTTTTGGAGGTCAACTTAGATTGTAATTACAATGCTTGGCTACTGCTTCCCACACTGTGATGATAAGAATCGGACGAATAAATGGTGGAGTCACCAATTTGCCCGTGGGGCAATAAGGCATTACAATTCTCTCCAACCTGTAAAAAAATATGTTTTGTTAAATCACGAATGATACCCTCTAGCCCTCAGAATTCAAGGGTTCTTTTTATTATTTTCCAAGATAAATTTCTTCCATATAAAAAAAATCACCTGAAGGAACCACGAATTTCGTTAATATATTTCATTCATACGTACTTTGGAAATAAAGAAATTAGTAAACAAAATAATTGATTTTATTGATTGGATCGTGTTGATAAAAAGTTTTTTTATTTACATACTTTTTTTTTTTAAAAAAAAAGAAATAACTTTATTATAAATAATTGACAGAATGTTACACGTTAAATTATTTGCGCTGTTTCAATCATATGATTTTAATAACTGTTTCAATATAAATTAATTTATAGTAGTTAGGAATGTTTTTTCTTTGCTATTAAAGATACATTTTCTCTACATTTGTAATAAATTCTGGCTGCAAAAAACATTTGTTGGATCTAAAATCCTGAATACAAAAATAAATCTTAGGCATATACTTTTTTTTAAAAAAAAAAAAAGATTTCAAATGGTAATCAACTTACTTTTTTACATTTTTCATTATTTCACGTGCAGGCTAAACAAAAAATAAAAATCAATTAACAAAGCTATTTAAATAAAATAAAATAAATAATAAATATCACTATATGTAAAAGATACCTCAGATAAAGATTCGATAAAACATTCTTTTTTACGTTTCCCTATGCCGGTAGTATGATGTGATATCGAACCATTTGACCTTAATATTTCGACTAACGCATCTTGCTCTACGCGTCTTAAAGTTCCAAGTGGATCAGCAAGATTACGACAATTAAATCCATAAGTGAAAGTTAAACTTGCACCTGTTTCGTATCTAATAACGAGGTTTCATTAAAATTTCAATAAATCGTTCGAGGTTAAAAGAAAGACTTACATATGGTCCACTCTAACCGCAACAAATGGTCTTGGACGAACACTTTGAGCTCTACAAGTTGTCACTATTGTTTCTCTTACTTTAACAACAAGATCCTCAATGTTTGACCAAGATGTTGAGGTATCAAGGTAATCTGATATAGCGTAATAGTCTAAAAGAAAATCACGAAGATAAGGTAATCCCTAGGTAACGATTTTTTTTTTTTTTATACATATAGGAACAAAATTTTAAATCTTCACGTCGTGCATAATTTCATTTAATACCTTCACCTTACCTTTGACATGAAAAACATTCTCTCTCCTAAATCATAACCAGCATCAACCCCACCAAATGTTTCACCAGTCTTTAAAATTCTCTTTTCATCATTTACCATTTTACTCGTATCATAGCCATCAATTAAAATAGCAGCCAAACACATTTTACCAAATTTTAAATTTTTAAACTTTTTCCAATAATATTTTCTTATCACTTCGCTAAATACCGTAGTGATAGTAGGTGTAATAGTGTTGAAAGCTTGTACTAATTGTAATCCGGTTTCATCAACTAACCTGGCATCACTTAAATTATTAATAACTTTTCTTTGAACGATTTCCCTCAAGAATAAAAGACCTTTATGAAATGTTGGAAAATATATTGAAACGTAATGACGAAACGGAGTTAAATAATGTAGCTTGAATGTTAATTCGGTTATAACGCCCAATGTTCCTTCCGATCCAAATAATAAGTTCGTTATGTCAGGACCCGAAAAAAATGGTGGCAAAGTATTAGAACCGCTTTTTTGTATTGTGCCAGTTGGTGTAACAATTTTCATATTAATTATGCTATTTTCAAAATCTCCACTAGACCTTAAAGCAGCTAATCCACCAACTGTGCTAAATTCAAATGAATCAGCATCCCATCCGAGACTTAAACCCAATTTTCTTAATTCCATTTCTAAATCTTTTGCGATAGCACCAGCTTCAACGACTACAATCATATTTTCATTGTTTAAGGAGAGAATTCTGTTCATTTGTCTCATATCTAAAGAAACAATCATTCGTTTTTCTTCTTCTATTGGACAATCTAACGCGTTAACATAATTTGATCCTCCTCCATAAGGTATACAACCAACATTAAACTTTTGTGCTGCACGCACAATGATTTCAACATGTTCATGACTTTCAGGCCAAATAACTGCATCAGGCAATCTATTAAAATTACCATATCTTAAATTATAAATGTCCATAGTGCTATTCCCATGTCCACGAGATAATCTATCTTGTTCCGAGAATGAAATGATTACTCCTTTTGGTCTAATTGCATCGTAAAAACCATGATTTACTTCGGGGCTATGTATCTCGGACATTGATTTTTGCGCTGGGCATACGGTTTTTAAGTTTATTCTTAATGTTTGTTCTAACCATGGTCTTAATTCATGATATTCCTTTGAACTAAAATGTCCAAATCTATTTCCCAGCAATGAGGCGGTCCCCCTATCATCAAATTTAAAAAATGTATCTTTATATCCATGTCCATTCCATTTGATTTCTCTATTTGTACGTACTGCTAAGGTTTGACTAGGTGATAAAGTTCTCCATTCTTTATGTTCTATTAAATGACCGAATATATTTTCTAAACGACGAGAAGCATTTGGGTAAGGATTTTCTTCGGACATTTTTGAGGAGTATTTAAAAATTTCGAAAATTTATTTTTATTATTGATCAAGTTTAACTTTATCAAGTTACACTAGATTTTGACAGGTTTCACAATGTTCAATTTTACAATTGACACGCGTTAATTTATACAATTATATAAGTTTATTTCTTTTTCCTCTTAGATTTATGATTATCATTATCATCATTTTTATCATCTTCCTTTTTTTCTTTTTTCTTTTTCCGTTGTTCCTTTTTAGCTAGAATATCACGTTTTCTCTTCTTTTTTGATTCCTTCCTTTTTTTTTCCTCATCTTGTTGATTCTCATTACGTAATGTATCATCACAATTATCCGATGTAACTGCAAAACATAATGATCTTTTTTCTTTCTTCACTGAATCCAAGTCTGTTGTTGGATCATGATTTACCTCCGGTTTATTCCAACTAAAAATCGAATTCGATTTTTTTTTTCTTTTAAAAAAAAAAAAGAACTAAAGATGATTGAAAGAATAAGTTTATTAGGTTACCTATTGAAATCCAATAGTCCATTTGAACTTTTAACAAAATTTCCATGATAGAATAATGATTTTGATTTGAAGTTGAAAGATGAAGAGCTTCCATCATCGTTAAATCTACTCTTATGAGGTAATTCAGATGAGGATGTGTCAAAATTTGAATTGGAAGAATCAGAAAGAGAATAAAGTGATTCGCTTGTACTTATAATTCCCATATGATTTCTAGGAATTGTTGATTCTTTGACAATTTTAGAAACTTGTACTTCCTAAAATCATTAAATAAAATTAAAATGGAATTATTCAAATAATAATTACCGATCCTGAAATTAAGGTTATCAGAAACTTACCCCATCAGAAGTTTTTGATACTTTTATGTTATCTAGAGTTTTCGTGTATACTTTATTCCACCATTCAAATGACCAATCTTCCGAATTATTTCCAAGCTTTTGAGATTTTTAAAAATGAAGAATGGCGCAATGAGATGGTTAATTTTTCGCGAAAAAAAAGTACTCGAATAGGATACGTGTTTCCCCAGACAACGATAAAAATTAGGAACGCACCCCACGCGTATCATCCTTTTTAGTTATAAAAATTGGAGATTTTCTTCCATTAGAATCCTTTCCTAGTCCCTGACCTTTAATCCATCCATACTTTTCTAGTTGCTTTTCTGCAAAACTATTATTCATTTTTCTTTTTTTTTTTTCTTTTATAAAAAAAAAAAAAAAGAAAAAAAATATTTGATCCGAAATTCGAAATTCGCTGATCACCGACGCCAATAAGTTTATGTAGTATAACGTGTGATTTTGACCCGACTGATCTGATAATCTGATATTAAAGATAAACGAGATTAAATAAATACAATGTTTATTAAACGCCCAACCAGACCTTTACTTGTAATAATCTTTTAATAATTTTGAATTCCTTTTTATCTTTAACGTCTAAAAAAAAAGTTATTATAATGGCATATGCTGGATATGGCAGGATACTTTCATATTTATATGGATATTTTACTACAGTAGTTATCATTTTTATCATAGTAATGATAAAAATAGGACATATTGAATTAAAAACCATCTTCGAAGATATTCTTAATAAAATTAGTCCTTATGCCTGGGCACTAGTTGGAATAGGACTTTGTATTGGCCTTAGTGTTGTTGGTGCTGCATGGTAAATATCTCAAAATATACAAAAAAATTTTTTTTTTTCCTCTTTCCTCTTTTTTTTTTTTGCGATGAATTTTTTAGTGATTTTTTTGCTAGATTATCTAAATTTGATATATATCATTATTAGGGGGATCTTCATTACTGGCTCAAGTATACTTGGAGGAGCTGTGAAAGCTCCAAGGATTAAGACAAAGAATCTCATTAGGTACGTCAATGATGAAACTATTCCTCCTTATTATATGGTAACCTATTTTAATTAATTTTTCTTACCTCTTTTGTGTTTCGTTTCGTTTACCTACCCTTTATTTCCTTTTCTTTCCATAACCAGCATCATTTTTTGTGAAGTAGTAGCAATTTATGGTGTAATTATGGCAATCGTATTCTCTGCAAAATTACAAAGTATACCATCACCAGATTTAAAGACACAATCAAATTATTTTACAGGGTTTGCAATATTTTGGGGTGGTTTAACTGTTGGATTTTGTAATCTATTTTGTGGTATGGCTGTCGGAGTTACTGGTAGCACTGCTGCTCTTGCTGATGCTCAGGATCCTCAATTATTTGTAAAGATACTTGTCGTCGAAATTTTTGGTAGCATTCTTGGTTTATTTGGTTTAATCGTTGGTTTATTAATAGTGAGTATATTGAAAAACTTTACTTTTTTAAAAAAAGGAGAGAGAGTTGTGGGATTTTGTTAATTTATTTTTATTTTTTTTTTTTTATTACAGACAGGAAAAGCTGGAGAATTTAATTCTTAAATTTACCAAGAAGGGTAAATATTACTTTATACATAAATTTATTTAACAAATCTTTATAATTGTAACTAATATCTACTCTCTTCATTCAAAAGATTCATATATTTTTTCTTTGCATATATATTATTGGAATGGGTACAATATATGGTCTTATTAATTCACATAAAGACATTAAGTTTTGTAACCGATCTGCAGTTTTTTAATAGATTTTTTTTTTTTTTAAAAAAAAAAAAAAAAGAGGGAAAGAGAAGAAGATATCTATCTATTGATTATTGTTCCGGTTATAAAAAGGGTTAACTTTAAAATTGTTTTTTATATTGTATTTTTAATTATATATTAAATAATAAATAGTAAATGTATCAACGAACTTTTGACCGGTGGCGGATCTAATCACCGGTGTAGGTTAGGGTAAGTTAAGGCATATATTATTGGTATATATCAACGATCAATTAATTACCTTGGCATGTTTTATAATTTCCAACTTATTAATTATTCTAATAAAAAAATTTTTAAAACAAAAGAAAAATTTGATTCTAATAAAAAGTTTCAACGAAGCCATACCTTATGCATTTCGCTTTACTTACCCCAAATTAACCATCAAAGCCCAACAATTTCAACCATTAAACAAACATGATCAGAATTAAATTTATAATTTGGTAAAGAAGTTGATTCAAATTCTTCTTTTCTCGGTAATTTTAATAATTTAAATACTTTAAATTTATTCTCGTCGTCTTTACGATTTTCCTCATTTATATTTTCTTTTTCATGATCGAGGATATAAAATATATAGTCTAGAGTTCCTTTAAAATGTAATCCGTAATGGGTGATCTTTGGTTCAGAATATTCAATAATATTTTCGGAATCAATTAGATGATAATTCTGTCCATAAAGGGACAAACATTTTGGTAAATTCTCAAAATTTGAAAGTAATGAATCTAATTGAGAAGGTTCTAACGTAAAAGTAAGAGATGATGATTGTGATGATTGATTAGGTCGAGTGTCCGTAAGAGATTGTGAAGAAGTAGTTGATTGTTCAATTATAATTTCATTAGTGGAAGATGTAGATTGTTTCTCTTTCTCTTCCTTCTTTCCGAAATTATCACCGCTACCAGTACTACCTTCTACTTCATCTCCAAAAGATCTCATAGAATCTTTTAACACGGACAATTTTTTTTCGGTTAATGAATTTTTTACCATTAACTGATAAATTGGATCTTCTGGAGTTGAATTAAAATCTATTGAAAATCCAGAAATTTTTTTTTTTTTTTTTAGCAAAGTTGCTTTACCGGAGAAGTATAAAAAGAATTCCAACTTACCACCAGCTAAAAACGCAGGAAAATTAAATCCTTCGTTAAGTTTTAAAAGATTTTGATAAAGTATCAGACATTGTCTAGCACGTTCATACATGCTTTCGGGCCTCCAATAAAGATGTGTGGTACCAATTGATATCCCTTTATTCTCTACCCCAACGCATCCCAATACGACGACAATTCCGATACAGTTTGTCGTCATAGTAGGTGATCCAAATTTATCAAAATCCAATGTTAACTCTTTTAATTTAGTAAATTTTGATTTCTTCCAAATTATGCAGCAACCTATTGATATTTTAATCAATTTTTCGAATCATTTAAATCGTAATTATCATGTAGGATTATAATAAAGGATTCAAACGTACCGTGCCGTTTAGTATCATTCTTAAAAAAGAGTGAATCATAATCAAACTTCTCAAATTCAGGTTTAAACGTTTCAATAAAATTTGTATCGTCCATCTCTTGAAAACATCCTAAATCAGGTAAATAATGAAATATTTCTTTTAATAACCTTGGTCGGCGATTTTTCCATTTTAGTGCATCACCACAATTTGGAAATAATTCTCGTTTACAAAGTGATTGTGCAAGTAACTTAATAAAGAACACCATTTTTCATTTCAGTTTCAAAAAAAAAAAAATTAAATTAAATTCACAGATCATGATTTTTTTTTAAAAAAAAAAAAAAAAAAAAAAAAAAAGGAGCAAAGATTACGTTGTAAGTCATAATTGTTATTCCATTCGTTTCTTCTTCTGTATTAGGCAAAGCAATCATATCTCTTAATATAGGTTCATACTGAATTTCTGGTGGTTTGGGTGGTTTCTGTTGTTGTTTCTGCTTCCGTTGCTTTTGAATTATTTTCCCTTCGTTAATATTTTGTTTCTTCAATTCTTTTCTTTTGCTAACTCGAGTTCTTTTTTTAGGTAATGGTATTTCTGAGGGAAACTCTCTATTCTGTTGTCCTTCCTCATTGATGTGTTCTTTATTAGTCTCAATATGTAAAATTGAATTTGTCGAATCATTAACTTCTGCATTAGCTGTTGAATTTATCTGTTCCATTTTTAATCCTTTGATTTAATAAATTTCGAGGTTCTATATATATCCTTTTCCAAACGCAGTGATAAAATCGAATGAACTTAAATTTCTTAGATGTCACAATTACCAAAAAAAAATTAAAAAGTTTTTTGAACATGAATTTTTTACGAATAAATAACTTCTTTTATTCTTATTATAATAGGAAGAAATACAATTCTAAATAAAGTCTACGAATAAATGTCTATAATACATTACAATATCATAATATTGTAATTCTTAATTTTTCTTTCTAAACATTAAATAAAAAAAAAAATTTGATAATTGATAAAGTAAAAATATATATATAATGAAATATATATTTTGTTTTTTGTTTTTAATAGTATCTACGAAAAAATATAATGAAAAAAACTAAATTTCACTATAAGATTATTTTTTGAAGGAAAAAAAAAAAAAAAATGTCCATGAGTAATATAAAACCAACAAAAAAAAAAAAAAAGATTAATATCCAGATAAAATAAATCCTATTATAATAATTCTAATACACATTATATGATGAAGAACATTAAATTTTCCGCTAAATAAGCTAATCAAACAAGGGAATGAAGATATATATGAATGTGATAAAATGTTATTATGTTACATACGAATAAACTGTATATGATTGAAATTAAATGGTTAAAAAAAATAAAAGTCTAATAGTATTTTATATATATATATATATATATATAGATGGATGAGATTAGCGGAAGACGTGAAAAAAAATTAAAAAATGATAAAATCTGGAGGGTTTTTTTTTTTTTTTTTTTTTTTGTTATTTTTTAGTCGAATTATTATCCTGATTGATTTATTCGGCTTCCTCTTCCCCGGCATATTCTTCACCTTCACCACCTTCTTCATAATCATCACCACCTTCTTCTTCAACTAATAAAGAAAAAATAAAATAAGTAAATCTGTTTTAGAAAAGAATTTTAACAAATAAAGAGAGAGAGAGATATATACCGGCGGCATCTTGATATTGCTGATATTCGGAAACCAAATCGTTCATGTTAGATTCAGCTTCGGTAAATTCCATCTCGTCCATACCTTCACCAGTATACCAATGCAAGAAAGCTTTTCGCCTAAACATAGCAGTGAACTGCGTATTAATGCGTTTAAATAATTCTTGGATTGCGGTACTATTACCGACGAAAGTACCAGACATGGTGAGACCAATTGGTGGAATATCACAAACGGAAATCTTAACATTTGATGGAATCCATTCTACAAAGTATGAACTATTTTTCATTTGAACCGAATGCATTTGCTGTTCAACTTCTTTAGTTGAAAGTCTACCGCGGAAAATAGTCGCGACAGTTAAATATCGTCCATGTCGAGGATCTGATGCAGCCATCATATTCCGTGCGTCGAACATTTGTGCAGTTAACTCTGGTACTGTGAGAGCACGAAAACCTTGTGAACTACGAGAAGTTAATGGTGCGAAACCGACCATAAAGAAATGTAAACGAGGGAATGGAACTAATAGACAAAATAGGGAATATAATTGTTAAAGTGATAAAGTAAACAAAACGTGTTCAAAATAAATTATTTTTTTAAAATAATATATACCCATATTGACAGCAAGTTTTCTCAAGTCACTATTTAATTGACCGGGGAAACGTAAACATGTTGTGATACCGCTCATGACGGCTGACACGAGATGGTTAAGATCACCATAACTTGGATTAGTCAATTTAAGTGTACGGAAACAAATGTCATATAAAGCTTCATTATCAATACAGAAAGTTTCATCACTGTTTTCTACTAATTGATGAACTGAAAGCGTAGCGTTATATGGCTCTACAACAGTGTCAGATACTTTGGGTGATGGAACCACAGAGAATGTACATAACATTCTATCGGGATATTCTTCACGAATCTTGGATAATAATAAAGAACCAAGACCGGATCCAGTACCGCCACCAAGGGAGTGAGTGACTTGAAAACCTTGAAGACAATCAGTAGATTCTGATTCTTTACGGAGAACTTCCAAGATGGAATCAACCAATTCAGCGCCTTCAGTGTAATATCCCTTTGCCCAATTGTTACCGGCTCCAGATTGTCCAAACACGAAATTATCAGGACGGAAAAGTTGACCGTATGGACTAGATCTGATAGAATCCATAGTTACAGGCTCAAGATCTATTAGTACAGCCCTATTGATAATGAGAATCATCAAACAAATTAGAAAGTTTTTTTGCGAACCAACAATGGATATAAAAAGAAAGCAATAATTTTACAAAATATTTTGTACTAACCTTGGAACATATTTACCGCCCATAGCTTCATTGTAATATACATTAATACGTTCCAATTGTAAATCACTATCGCCGTGATAAGCACCGGTAGGGTCGAGACCATGTTCAGCAGAGATTGCTTCCCAGAATTTTTGACCGATCTAAGTAAACAAACCGAAATAAATTTAATTTTTTTTAGTTGTTTTGTCTTTTTGTCGCATTTTTTAAATAATCTCAGTAAGAAAGGTTACAAAACTTACTTGGTTACCACATTGTCCTATGAAGAAATGGGAAAAAAAAAAAAAAAAAAAATGAAATATAAATAGGAGAGTTATAGAAACTATATAAAGATTTTTTTTTTTTTTTTACTCTTTGATAAGTATAACG